TTAAAAGTGCTGTTAGTCGATTCCTCGTGGTCGGTTCTCCTAGATAGCGTGCTTTCCTAGCGGTTTCCAGAAAACTCGAAGTTGGTGTGTTTGAAACTAGTATAATTAGAGTAATAAATCAGTGAAGGGAGAGTAATATGGTTGAAGAGGTCTTGTAGAACGAGTTTGCATGCACCCAAGATACATGAAAAAACACGTTACTTACATTCCTAGTATACAAGCGGGTTTACGACGACTTCATTTGTGGGCCTGATAGTAGTTTTTATAACACGCGAATGATAGCAGATGACCCTTGCTGTTCGCTGGGCCCAGAAAACAACATCAGCTCATGCCAGTACTCTGCTTGAAAAACAGACAAAGGATTTTGACCAAGCTGGCTGTGGCAAGGTATCTTATCGTGATGACTACACATGTATACCACTTGCCACAACTATGTTTAGGTCTGTTCGACAATTTGCGGGCCTTCTAAAAACATTCACATAGTTTGATATTAAATACTCCTTGACGAATGCCAAAGCGCTTTCACAACTTACAATGTTCCAACGAACGATCGGTTGCCGCAGTTCGCGATGAAGCGCAGGTCACATGGAACAATGATGTTAACAGCGACAAACTACAAGTTTGTACAACTCTTGATGAAAGCGCACTATCATTCACAGGCGACCATGTTTCATACGAGGTATCTTTCATATGCGCGCTTGATTGATTCTACATACATATTGCAAACCCGCCCAGCTTGCTCACAGGATGTAGCAAACAAAGCAATGTCGCATAAAACATGGCATTCGATCTTCTACATTCCCAACCAAGCACTCAACAAACCAATATGTCTGATATCTTGGACGACATGCAAAAGGCAAAGGAATGTGCCAACATTATCAAATTCCAGACAGACGGTGATGACATCAAATACCCCAATCAACAACAAGCACGCGCCGAGCCAAACGCAAGACTGATACGCGTTTTCGGGATCGACAACGCCTTTACGAATGCGACAGAGAACAAGACCAACTTTGTCAAAATGACTCAGAATTTGATGTGGAAAGCGATGAAGATGAAAGACCAGAAAGACGATGACAATTGGGTTGACTTGTGCCAACAAGCCACCATGTTCTTCGAAGAATACCAAAAAAACTCCAGCACTCACACAATCCAGATTGCTGAGCTCACTCAGTATGTAGTTTTGAAGCTATCACTATGCTACCTATTCGATGATGCTAGAGAGGCACTTGCAGCGAATCAGGCTCAATTCGACGACATCAAATACATCGGTCAGCGCATCAACGAGCTCTGGGTTGAAAGCAAGGGAAACGATGATATAGAACGACTACCAGATTGGAGGGACGAAGAAAAGCTACACGCTGCACTCCGTCGCGTCACCCAGATACCAAATGTCCGGACTCGGGGGAATCTCTCAACTGAACCACTGCGCGGGAAGAATAACCCGATGAACCTTCTTCTTCCTGCGTACGAAACAATGTGGCGTGTCGTTCTTCGCTGCTTTCTTGAAGTCTGCTACCGAAACGCACCAAATTCACCCGACTGGATCGCCATCTTGAAAGCATATGTGGGCAACCTCCGCAGTGGAGAATGTACGCCTAATCATGCTTTCCACGATAGCACCACAACTTCCAGTGGAGGAAGGACAGCTGAAATAGTCAAAGAGGCACTCCGCCTCTATCCGCCTACCCGCCGTGTCCACCGCTCCTTTAATGGCCAACGTGTGGCGGCCAACATCGAAGAGTGCCAAAGATTCAATCTGCTCGCAGATCCTGACCCCCTGGTATTCCGCCCGGAGCGTTGGAGGGAAATTTGCTTCTCGAAACGGCAGGCATTCTACGACCAAGCGGTGCGGACGGAAGAGGAAAATGCATTCGTGCCGTACAAAAAGGCAAAGGATGATCTCAAAGGAGCAGAGGAAAAGTTAGGGTACATGCCATTTGCATACTTCTGCGCTGCAGATCATGCGGCGACCAAAGAGTTCGCATCCAAGATGATTGGCATGCTGGTTGGTGTGCTGTGTGAGGGCCTGAATGGAAAGTGGGAGGTGGAGAACACAGCTAGCTTGCCAGCGTCTGGAACTCCACTAGACTCTGGTCGCGCAGCATATGAGGATCTGAAATTGAGGCGTGAGACTTGATAGAGAGATGGCATCTGCGGAGTATGCGCATGGAGGGGTACGAGAAACCACATGAACCGGTAATGCTAGCTTTTGCATTCTTGCACTGTATGAGCGACTAGATATCTGATGAATGAATTACACGTTTTCGAATCTCACTCAATAACCTTCAGGAACAGCCCTTCATACCTTCCGGGTAGATAAAATTGAAGCCACGTGGTAGGATCAGGTCAGTGACTGCGTGTACGGGATTAATAGCGGCGTGCATTCTGATCCCATCCATGGTTCAAGAAATCCCTTTCTCATCTTCAGTTTCCGCCCAATCATTACACAACTAGGTATTTAAAGAAAAAAATACATCTTTTACAAAAACTAACAATGTACAACCTGCAGGTCTATAAACTTCGTTACCACAAACCTTCTACACTACAGCCACTTCCACGATGAGCCAGACGCCCGCGAATACCAAACCCAAAATCCTGCCATCACCAACAATCGGTGTCTACATCTGGCGCTGTACCAGACCCGGCTGCAAGAGCACCAACGAGATATTAGCCACAGAACCCAGCCGCATGTCGGCGCTGAACAATGGCCGAACGTATCCACAGCCGGTTTGGTACGGCGACGTATGCAAGAGATGTTTTCGTCAAGCAACCAAAGATTCGTGTCTTCTTGAGGTTAAGTTTTTCGAGTGCTGGGAGAAGAGGAGGAGGATAAGAACATTACAAGAGAATGCCGGATCACTGGAATAGACGACGTACTTCGTGTTTTTGGTGGGCGATGATGTGGGAAATTTGGAAATTGGGTCATGGCTTCATCTCAGGTCTAGGAAGGAATAATCATGAAATATGCCAGTCTCTCATCAGACGCCCTGGCTCTTGTATCAAACTCTTCCGTCAATTCAAACACGCAAACTCACGCCAACTCCGCCTCGATAACGCTCTCCACAGCCCTGGGATGCCGACTAATGCCCACGACGCGGAACCCGGCCTCGCTCAACAACCTGCCCCAGTGCTCTTCTGTCCTCTCCATCCCACTCGTACAATTCATAAGCTGTAAATCCAACGTCGTCATCAAACTCGTCGCCCCCTTGTTCGGCAGCACAACCTCGTAAATCAGCAACTTGGAATACCCCCACTTGCACGCATGTCGGACGCGCGAGAACATGCGCACGCAGTCTGCGTCTGGCCAGTCGTGCGGCACGGCGTGAAAAAAGTAGGCGCGCGCATGGATCTGTGGCTGTGGCGTAAAGAAATCATACGCTTGTTTTGTAATGCGCGGATCCAAGTCTTCGATCTGCATGGCCACGACTTCAGGTGTGTCTTGCACTATCAGTACGTCGGCAGGGAGCTCGGGATGTCGGTCTAGCAGGCGCAAAGTATCGAGGCCGTGAGCGCCGCCAATATCGACGAATAGCGGTTTTCCAGGCACTATGTTGGCTCCAGAGATTATTTGATTTGTGTCGTAGACGTCTGTCCAGCCCATCTTGTGGTTTCGCAGGGCGGTCATGAGGCCCATGAAACTGCTTCCCTTGCCCTCTGGGTCCGCAGCGCAGAGAGCGAAAAAGTCTGTTCCGTTTGTCATGTCGCGGTAGTTGTCGAGCGTTTTGAGATCATTGGGCTCACGGTAGTTGTACTTTTGGAGAAAGCGGGGGAGGTTGATGCCTGTGGGGATTGTGTGGTCGGTACTGTGTTAGTGTTAGTAGGTGGATGTGGACGGAAAGGTGCGAGCCTACCCGCATTGTGTGATTTGATCCGTATGAGATACCGTGTCCCCGAGCGACAGTGAATAGGGTGTCGGTTTCCAGGTATCTACATCTGTCTCTTCAAGGACATAAAGTGCAGCAAGATGTCTGAAGAACCGTCCTGCGATTCAAAGTCAGGTTCCGATATCTCCCTCATGCCCAGGAATCAACAAACTTACGCAGTAGATTTGGCTCAACTTCTGTATTAGCCCACTCCAACACCTGGTCCAAGTTGACAGCTGCGCCTGGCTTCTTCTTGTCAGCCTCTGTCCATTTCTTCCAGATGCCCAAATCAAGAGCGGTCTGGATACCAGCGATGAGAACAGGAGTTTCAAACGAGAGCCTCCAGCCTTGTTCAAATGGCGTTTCGAGACGATTCAGCAAGCGTCTAGCCGCTTCTTTGACCTCAAAACGCTCGGCATCCGTCTCAAAGCGTGCTGGCTGGATAACCTCAAGCGACTTTATTATGTCTTGCGAATAATTCGGTATCCTCATGACGAATGTATCTCTTGACGTTTACTTTTGATTAATAAGAGATTAATATGACGCAGAGGGGAATGGAGAAATTGGCATCGACTTCTGGACCGGTACATGAGTCGCGTTCATATAGGTAGCGTTCAGTCCGTCTCACGACTATCGTGACCCTTGAGGTCCACAGTTATCAGGCACCCTGACCATCCCCTACGTAACGGCTATGGCGGGAAAAAACAACGGCTTGGCGTTGGTGGAGAAGAGGCATGGAAGTATTCCTTCGCATATGCGCCCCATGACTCGTACGCAAGCTGCAAGGGCGTCTTTTCCTGGTAATTCGTGCTATATTGCAGTCGAGATGCCGCGGAGCTTTCCTCCGAGATCCGCAACCCTCAAGTGGGTGTGCCTGTCATCCATATTACCAGGGCTTGTCATTTGCCGTTCTTCTCACGTCAATGCTTAGAATATCATTGGCCCATCTGGCATGAAACCGAGAGGTAATGTGATGAAGTGACTGACGAATGGGTCTTCTCAAATGTCGTTGCAATGTCTACATTGCAGTGCAGTGACTTCTTATGTCGTGCCATCTCGTCCTCGGCCGCCCAATCCATGAGTCTTGGTCGTATATCTTAGTCTGGCCCCTGTGCAAAACATCGCTACTGCGACGAATCTTGATGGTTTGGTTGGCCTCTAACCAAGTCCGTAGTGCTCTCTTTACTGCTCGTCTCGATATCGGTCATGTTTGTTTCGAGATCCGTCATTTTGTACATCTCAAACCCAGTCTTCTTCTTCCTGGCCAAATTCCCAGGGTTTGAAAGATAGTGCTTGGAGGGGTAACCGCTGCGGGATCTTGTCATCCAAGTCTCTGCTCTGAATAGGCTGTTTATAACGGGTGCGTTGACGGCGAAAATAGACACAATCTGGTATGCTATTAGAAAGACTAGAAAACGAGCGTGCGATGTGACTTACAGCCTCGCGCTGCGCCCATACCGAGGCGAGAGCTACTTGGACGGTAGTCCCAATAGACAAGATACAGCGGGCGATAGCCATGCCCATGACGAAAAGTCCAAGGGAAAGAAGGAACATGATCCTAGCTTTGCTGTGGACTTCAGTCAGCTCAAATACTCAACCATGCTATCGTCTAAACTCACCGCCAAAGACTGATCTGCGTATCTTTCAACATCCATACTGGCACCACGAGCAGCATCGCATCTACTCTATCTTGTGTCAGCAAATTGTGATTTCACCAGGTACAACACCTACAACACGTTGCCCACTGCAATGACAATATTAATGACAATACCCGCTGAGCACTCTTTGCCCGGGTCAGGAAGAATCTGCCAATTTCTTTTCAAAGGCAAGCAGTGCGTAGTCTGAGTGATGATTGCCGCAGTAAACGCCGCAACTGACACACCGCCGGTAATCTGCACATATCGATACAGATGGGTATCTCTCCTGAAAAAAATGAGAATAAGCAAGCATCGTCTTGAGCGAGTTTCGCTACTTACGTGAAACGCAGAAACAAACTGATGAGACAGCCCTTGAGGCTCCAAACGAGGAAGATCAAAAAGTAAAAAGAAGCAAACATGGCCTTTGCCCCTTCTCTCATCGACTTGCGCATTGCAGGCGGAAGCGCCTCGCGCTGTTCTTGTGTCAGAGCTATCGGAGCCCCCTTTACATCTCCCTCAATGTTAGTTCGGGGGTTCCCGTCGAGGTAATCTTTTTGCAACTTACTAAGAAACTCGACCATCGCATAAATCATTGTGAAGAAGACCCAAGACAAAAACGCAAAGAAATCATCCCAGTAGAAGCCTCGCCATCCTAGCGTCTTCCACCTAGCGAAAAACCGTAGTCCGACAATGGCGCTGCCGACGGCGTATTCGACCCGGCATTCGATAAGCGTCGCAGTAGGATCGGACATGTTGGAGGCGCAAAAAAATGGGAAGAGTATGGTTCAGGGGGCTGTCCGACCCGCCATCAGGCAACTCCTACTATATGAAGCGCCATGCTCTCGAATCCAGTTGCTCAAGCAGTGTCCTGATCCCAACCGGCTGTTGTCTTCAACACACAAGGACACGGTCAGTCACAACTTGGCACAGGGTCGTATGCAGTATACTAGGGATACGGTGTGCACGGCTTTGCTGAGAAGGACATGATAAACAGTCGCATTTCCCTCTTTCGCACGCTCTCGCAGCCTCCATGAGCGCCCTCATCCCTGATACTTGGTTGAGCCCGCGCCGCAATTCCACCGGGCAACGACTCCAAAACATCACGCGAGATATCGCTCCCGCGGAAGCCTGCATTGGAGTGACGTGGATGCAGTAAGCGGAGAAAAAAGGTTGTGGTGACATGGTTTCTGACGCGCGCAGTCTTACTTAGCATTGCGGCGCGGACGCGGCTGAACCGTTGCCCTGGCTCTCGTCTGCAACATGCATCGCGGCTACTTCAAGTTTAGCCGCGTTATGCTGGGGATGGCTCCATAATTAGGCGGGTGTTTTTGTGAGGCCTTCCGATTTCCGGAGGGCCATGTTGGGGCAGTCCAGATGCTATCGTCCGCGGAGGCGGGTAGGTATCTCTCTGCCCTTGCAATGTTCTGGGCGAGGGATTGCTGTATGTACGTCTGCCTAGGGGGATGCGTGCTGCTATCAGCTTGTCAAGTAAGCGAAAAGATTTGCAACACGTTTCGACATGTCTTGCTCTTGCGGACTTGGTCACTGCAGCAGTCAAAGCTGTTGGTGCAGAAAGATTTCATTTCACAAGTACTCACAATACCTTTAGTACATCCAGCTCGTGTTGGAAAATTCATCTGCCTTGTAAAGGCATGCAGGCTTAGTATACTCGGTATCAAAATACACTCGCCCTATAAAGACGCTCCCCCACTCACTACCACCCTTACCCCGTCTAATCTCAGCAAACCCCTCACTAAAGTAGAAATCTCTCTCTGGGTGACACCGTGATCTTGATAAGCGCGGAATATCACCGTGTTAAGCTTGAAATGCAGGTACTGCGTTTCAAGCGCAATGGCATGACATGCAGTCAGTAAACCAAAAGCGATATCCTGAAGTTGGAAGCGCATTCTCGACCAGTCATAGGTGAGGAAAGAGCCTGGTGAGGTGAGAGCGTAGATGTAGATGATACGTCGGATTTCTGGGGGTAGGCTTAGGAACGATGACGTGGTCGGTTGTGTGGTAGTAGCGTGGTCAGGTACAGGCCCTAGAAGCTTGAGATGGTGTTTTCGCGCTCTGGGGCGGGATTTGGATGTTTTGATGAGATTTTGAGACGGGGCTTCGTTTGTGGTAGGACGGTCTTGGCCAGGTGAAGCAGAGGTATGGGAAGAATTATTGGTATTTCGGGGAGAGTCTTGGTCCGGCATGGTGGTTCAGAGTGAGCGGTGCGAGTCTTTTTCAATGCCTTCGCTGCTCTGGTGTATGCTGTTAGTGATGGAGGATGATGGATGAGAGTGCATGAGGGATATATGCAAATTCCTGGCAAACATCTTTGGTAACCGCAAACCGAAGAAGTCTGGGATGCAATTGCTATTATTGGGAGTGGTGGTAGTTATCGGTACCGAATGGTACATGGAGCCACTCATGTTCCAGTGATTGTCATCTGCAAAGCCCAAGGTCAGCCAGCACGCAAACCACCAGCCAAAGTGATGCGTACTAATTCATTACCACAGGCATGGCGAATGCCTCGGGCAGCACGTGACGTGTGTTCTTCAGCCTCACCAAACTCTAATCCAACCCCGCTTTACAAAGCGATTGGGTTCTTTTGGCCCGGCAGCGTACTCTCCTCAAACTCAATTTTCCTGATATGCTGGCCCGGCACAACAATCAGGCCAACATAGCGGCTGTTCCAGGCGACCGAGGCAGATGGGTTCCCCGACTCCTCGACGGCCTTGCGCACCGCGTCGGCGGAGGGAGCGCGATACTCGTGAGCGAGTGCAAGGATGATGTTGCGGTCCTGGGCCATGTGTCAGCGGGCGCTGCAGCACGACATGCACGCCGACTGCCCACCTTGTCGGTGCACTTCATCTGGCCCCCGAAGACGCGGCCGTCGCTTGCGTGGATGCGCAGGTTCTTGCCGATGAACTGGCTCAGCCAGAAGGTTGCTTGGTCGTTGTCCATGGGTGGGTTCTTCTTGGCTCGTGGGAAGAGCCAGCTGTAGCGGTTTCTCCTGCCGGGCGCCAGCATGGTGTCGCTCGCACTCGCGCTGGAAAAGAGGGGACGTGGGTGTGGCTGTGTTCGCCTCCGATGAGGCTGGAGGAGTGGCTTGGGGACGACGGCGGGGAGGCAAGTCTTGGCACCAAAGTCTTGGCGCGTTTGCCGTGTTTGGCGTGGGCTTTCTGACCACCGACGCCGCAACAAACGTGCATGCGACGGCGGCCATTCCCTCGACCCGCAACATGTATTCAGTACGGCAGAGCTGCCAATCCGCGCTGCGGGCCTCGCGCTATGCGTGTCTGTATGCCCACAGCCCCGCGCGCGCCTTTTCATCCAGCCCCGCCTACTCAAGAGGTCCGCCCCATTTCCGACATCAGCCTCCCTCAGGCCTCTGGCATTAATTCGAGACCAGGCGCTCTTCCCAGCTTCCTCCCCCCGTCCTCGCCCGACCTCGCCTCTCTCCTCTCCGCCTTCAATTCCAAGGTCCTGCTGCCGTGCCACCTCACATCAGAGCAGCAAAAGCTCGTCTACTCGCAAGAAGCCCGCGCCAAGCTCGAGGCCGAGCCAGTGGAAATCACCCTGGGCGATGTCACTCTCCCCCTCGAGCACATCGACCGCAACAAGCTGCCCAGCCGCTGGCACACGCTACGTGACATTGTGAGGAAGAGCGAAACCACGGACGACTGGGAAAATGTCCTGCGATGCCTCGAGGGCTTCGAGGAGGCCGGCATCAAGGTCAAATGGGAATGGCAACAGATGGTTATGAGGGCTCTCGGCAATGCTGGCAGGCAGAACCTTATCATCAAGGCGCTGCAACGGCCAAAGGCCTCAGGCATCCGCCTATACAACTGGGGTGTGTTACTCCAGGTTCTGAGAGCCGTACACGACCAGGCCGTCATGGTCGATTGGCAACAAGAAGAGACGATGAAAGCCCTGAAGATGGCAAACCAGGTCGTCGAACTCATGGAAAACAAGCTGCACTGCGAGGGTGACTGGGTCCCCAAAACAGACGTCGGTGACTGGAGGGGTCACCCCGCCGTTGTCGCGCTGCCTACCGAGATGACTGCCGTCATTGCTGAAAAGTACGGCGGCGACAAGGAGGCTGTCCAGAAAATGGCGAACCGCTTGGTAGCTGCCATTGAGCAGATCGACTACATGGTAAGCTTCTCGCAATGTCACTACTCGTCTTCTCTGCAGTTCTAATATTTACCTTAGACCACCGTCAACACCATTGCCGCCTACGCAGGCCAACCCCCTGAAGAATTCGCAAAAAGCATCCACAGACAGGGCTTCATATTGCAACTTTGTAGTAAACTCATCGAACTCGCCATTGTCTGGAACGCGCTCAAAACCTCACGCAAAGTGCTCGCCGCCGACATGCCCTCTGCCACGGAAGCACAGCAGTACGAGGCCAAAATCGAACACGTCATCATGCAAGGCGTGGCCAAGCTCAACAGCCTGCAAACAATCAAGGGGCCCGAGTTCCGCTCTAGCACGGCCAATTATGTCATGGAGATGGTGGAGAAGTGTCAATAAGCGCTAGAGTCGAGGCGTGCTCTGCTGTAGGAATTAGTTGTTTGAGTTGGTCAGTGACGAGTTACATGATAGGAGCTAGTCTCCCTATGTATAAATATAAAAAGAATACACTGCATCTGTCACAATACCAGGGGCATGAAGATTTGTCTTGTTCTTGCTTTAGTCACTATCGTGCCCAGAGATTTACACTCTATTGTTCCAGTGTTGATCTTGTAACGCTACCTGTTGTTCTGGACATCAACTACGCGCATACTGCACCACCAACTTCGAGTTTTCTGGAAACCGCTAGGAAAGCACGCTATCTAGGAGAACCGACCTTGTTGGGCTGAGAAAGGACGTTAAACTACAATAATAATAGGAGAACCGACCACAAGGAATTGACTAACAGCACTTTCAACACCTGCAGCTAAGGCGCTAGCGCGTAGTTAGGAGAAGAAGGAGGCCTTCCTTTGTTTTCTCACGCCTGTAAGAATTTTCTTACAGAGCTTAGGCTCTAATGCCAAGACTAGAGGGGCTAATAGGAACGCAGGAGCTTATTAAAGCTTAAATTTAGCAAGAAACATAGATATATTAAAATAACAAAAATAACAAAAAAAGACTAGCCTTAAAGGACCTTAGAGGCACAAGCAAACGACTAATGGATAATAATCTAGAAATTGAGATGGCTAAGGAGGCCTCTACGCCTTGCCCTAACAGGCAACTAGAAGAACCGCCTAGGCCTACCCATACTAGGACAAGGAGCAATTTTTCTCCATTTATTAAAGCAGTGCCAAGATACCCTACAGTAGGGAAAACACCAAAGGCAACCTCTATTAAGGAGGCCTTAGAGATTGCTAGAAACCTAGTAATCCAAGCAGCTAACTTAGCTAAAAACAACCCTACTAGGCAAACTAGTTTACTAGACCTTATAGAAGTCTTTAGAGACTTTACAGAGAATAGTAGAGTAAACAAGAAAAACTCTATAATTCTAGGAGACTAAATCTCCTCTCTATCTAACGTCTCTAAAGAACTAAGAGAGAAAGTTAGACGTGTAAAGGGCTACGCCAGAGAGGCATGACCTACAGGTCACATGGCAGTGAATCACATG